ATTTATACATTTTATAATTTATTTTATTATTGATTATTTTTAATGTTTTATATCATAGGTGGGAAACCTCTTTATAATTAGAGTCGGCAGCAAGGTTTAGACAGTGCTAATGGAAGCCGCGACACTTCTTTATATTTTAGCGTTACTATTTTTATTTATCACCAAATACAAACAACCACATACATACATTTAACTTAATTCTATCAATTTCTAAATCGTCGTTACTTAAATAATTAAATGCTAATTAATTCTAGTAGAAGATTAATAAATATCACACAAAACCTTTAGAGGAAACTTCGTCACAAAGGCCACATGCGGCCCTATAGAATAAAAAATATACATATCTCGACATGTTTCGGCTTCCGCAGCGGCCTCTATTTGACCGAATAAGCTGAAATTCAGTATATAGAGTTGGTTCCAAGGCGGAAAAATTCTATTAAAATTTGGAAAAGTTTCGTCAAAATGTAGGCATGTAAGAACGGTTTTCCCTGTTTTTAAAGTATTGCGCATCTCCACAGATCCTCATAACAAAGCTGTAAGGTTAAAGTTGTGCATCTATATTAAGTTGGTGCTGGACTTAGTCATATCTATACACATACACATTTCCCCATTATTTTCTTTTTGATGTTAGAAAAAGGAAATGTTTTTCTTTAAGGTAAGAAACCAGTTTACCAAATAAAATATGCATGGAAGTAATTTGTTTTTAGAAACTGTTGAACGAACTCTCTTTAAATACCGACACTTTGCTACTATTTCCTAAAAACGTGTTCTAGTCCGATTTTAGCAGATAATTATTTATTCTGGATAAAAATTATGGTGCGCGCAACACAACATTCACTTACCGCTCTACTTTGAGTAGAAATTATTTTCTGGCAATGTTGGGCTATTATGAAATTTTTTAAGAGAATTTTAAACGGAGCTAAAGCTTAAAGCTTACAGCTAACAAATAATTAAGACCATTACAATCACAAAAACTCTATTAATTATATCGACAGTAAGCATTAAAAATCTAGTTACTCTATATGTTTTTATAAACCATATAACTTCAGTGTCTGAGCCTTTCAGTTGACAGAATGACAATTTCAACATTTTTGAGTACACAGACAGTAAGAAAATTGTATCCAGCGTAGAAGATTGCAATGTTAAAATATAGAACTGTGAATAAAGGTTACATATACATTTTGAATAAAGAATTAAAATGAATAATAAAGAATGTTAAAATTGGAGTTAGTTATTCTGCCAACTGAAAGGATTATGTATGCCTGGAGAGATGTGAAAGTACATATGAATATTTAACCCATAAATGATTATGGATTGCAGGACTATAAGTTATTAAACTGTTATTTTCCATAATAAAGTATACTACTATGAAATAACGAGATGGATAGATCAAAAGTTGTCACACTAATTGGATAACGTTGGATTTCACAAAGGGAAAATTCAACAAATTATTCACCTATTTAATTTTAGAGTTATTAAACTACAGTAAATGTATGTAAGGTTATAAACATATCCGTGAAATATTTTTATCTTTTATTTCTTCTTTCACACAAGTACAATTAAATAGTATTTTAAACAATGTCATTGCATCGATTCGGTGGATTTTAAATAGTTTTTCTGAAACTTAAAAAAAAAAAAATTAAGTTTACATTTAGTAAGAAAATTTCAGTTAATTTCACTGGAAACATATGATTTATCTTAAATAATGTTAGTTTTCTAAAATTATTACTTCTATTTTTTTCGTCACTTTCCGTTATCTCCTACAACTTTATTTATTTTATATTATTATTTCTAAAATTCTCTGCTTTCCAATGATATTTTATACGTATACCTTCTGAATATGATTTCCGGAGATTCATTTTAGACCTCGATGAGCATTTTTCTTTTTTTTTCTACATTATTCAATTATAAAATTCTTTCAAAAGTTATATTTAGCGTTTTTCGTAACTCCTACGATGAGAGATAGTTAATTATTCAAAATAAACCAAATTAAAGGTACTTTAGAGGAAGAAATGTTGACATTAGGAATTTCAGCCCTGTTATGTGAAATCAATCGGAATAAGACCTAAATGATATTAAATACCAGTTAATTATACAATGATACACTGAGTTTAATCAAAATTGTTGGAGTCGTTTGAAAAAATTGTAAACATGTAATTCACCGTTGAAATAAAGTGGCACTTCCTGTTAGCCGTTTTTAAGGAAACAGTTGCTTCTCAGCCACATGCCAATTTTAAATACGTTACATCAGTTTCATACGGCTTTTCGTTTTTGAGCTAGACTGCTCACATACACATAGACCATTTTGCGTTATTTGGTTATTTGGACTCAGGGGACCTCAAAACGTGTATTTCCGTTGAAAACTGAGTTTCGAAAATTTTCACTATCACAATACTTGCCCTAACTATATATTACATATATAGGTAAGTGAAAGTAAAAATATATATTGCACAGAATTTACATTGCTAATGCACTAGTGAAAAAGAAATTCTGGCTGGTCAATTTCCACTTATTTATATTGTTTTGAGTTACTATACTATATCCCAAATCTTTTTGTATTATATCCATCATTGAAATTTATTTCATGATTAGAATTATTCTTTTGTATCTAAATCTTTTTGGATTTAGAGTTTTGTTAATCGGAAATATGTTTAGTCCTATTTCAGTTTTAATGATGGTATTTTCTACGTTGGAGTATCTTCTATTTTCTTAGGTATAACAGCTGTAGGCATTTCGTAATCGTTAAGGTTTTGCACTATTCGACTTTGTTCTGGGAATAAATGTTTTCATTGAACTTAAATGAAATTTCAAATAAGTAATCAAGCTAAGTACTTTATAATAGTTTTTAGCAAATAACACATACATAAGCTCTCTGTTCACAATCGATATTATTGAAGCTATATTATTGTTCGTGCTATATATATCACATGTGTCAACATTATTGTTAGAGGGTACCCCTTGGACGGTCAATATATTGACGCAATTAGATATCGACTGAGTAATTCTGACCACGTGAAACGGGCTTAACAGACTCATTGTTAGATAAATAAATGGCCAACTGCTACCTTAAAGAATGTTATTGCTCTGATATAATTTGTAAAAAAAGTGAATAAAAAATCTCATGTTTGTTTTCCAAAACTATTTTTTCGGACCTACAATTAGTGTTTTCATTTATTAGTTTATTTGAGCATTAACGCATGTAGATGATCTAGCTGGATAGATAACGGACAAGGCCCTTTTTATCAAATTATTAATAACTAAAACTTCGTGGATGATTTCATTTTATCGTAACCTACTACTTTCTTATCTATGAAAATTCTTGTTATACGGAGATAAGTAAATTTAATGTTTTTCTAAAAACTCATTAACATCCACTTGATTTCCTTTTAAATCATTAGATGACAACATCGAGAAATAAGGTGGCCTAAAAAAATATTGGGCCGTTTGGCGCAACCTCCATTCCTAACGAACGATGAGATTATGAAAACTTAACATCCATTAAGATTTTAAAGTTATTGGTTAATAGAGATGAGTTCAACCAAATGATTATCGTGGCTGACAAAGCCCATGGGCATTTTTATCAGACCTACGTCCTAAACATATTAATTTTACGACTGGTTTACGTCATTTCTTTTATATATTTTTTGTAATGAAACAAAACTGGTTGACGTGTATGGCTTAAAGTTTGAATTGGATGTTTTCGAGAAAATATCTTTATAATTCAACGTTTATACTACAGTAACTTTATTGAGTTGCCGGAGCCAAAAAGTAAAATAAAATAAAAGGAAGCTACATTTTATCGAAGATTCTTTATGATCCTTCCCGTAATAATTGGTAAATTCCTGGAGATTCGCGAGTCTTGTTTTTATGTGGGGAGGAGGAGAAAGGTAATTAACTTATTTTTTTTTTATAAATATCTGAAAAACTACCCTTAACAAATATTATTATAGTACTAGTTGGCCCGTGCGAATTATTCGCATAAAATTTTGTTTAACGAAGAAACAGCAAAACAATATGGAAATAAGTAGTTCCTATGTATTATGTAAGGGAGGAATTAATATTTTTTCCTTGGTCGATTCCAATATTTAATTAAACATAATAGACCAAAATATTTGTACAAATTGCTTTGCTAGGACCTATTTTCAAATGCTGACTGGAAAGAAAATAAAAGTAATAAAGACAAAATAATGACCCGATCATGGGATTTTCTAAATTATTAAAAAAAGTAAAATGTGAGAACATCCAAATTCCTTTAAAAAGTAATAAAATTAATATATCAGCTAGTGAAAACAGTGTAGTAGACTTTTCTACTCCTAAATATCTTTAAACAGGAAGACATTATTAAGTATACCAAAACAAATGGACTATATCTTTGTTAATAATTGTCCGATTTTTTTTTTTTCTTTTTTTTTTTTTATCTTATCAGGCAATTTAGTTATCTTTCTAATTGTTATGGCTACAAACAGATAGAAAATGCATACTTTTTGAGTTATTCGCAAATAAAGTTTCTTTTCCTTCATAACTTTTTTTCCAAAAATTTCGGGGGGATAGGACTATTTTTCGCATGTGAAGGAGAAAAATGTCTTCAAAATCAGTGGTCAATCGTTAGAATTGATTAATAATTGACGAAGTTACGGCGTACCGACAAAAAAAAACTACATTTAGAAATAATACATAGGATTGGTGTGGACTTCTGTTTCTGAATCACGAAAGTTCTCTTAATGGTTAACAGTCAGGTGTTTAAATCCTTAACCAGAAGAAAGCACTCCTTAGTTTCCCGGCATATATCACTGATGACCCACTGTAGGGAAGTAAGTTTCAATTTATATTTCCGTCTACAAAAGAGACTCTCATCTATTTCTGCTGCAAGTCCATCACCACCCATCAAGTATGAATTTCAAAAAGCGAATTTGCATAGACTTTGTGTAGTAAATTCTTTCAGTCTGATATAGTATGATCTCCAAATCCAATTTCTTCCTTACGAAATTTTACTGTAATATATTTCCTTGACCAGCAATGAATGAAATATATAATGTTTTTAAATGTATCCTATATCACTTATTATGATTAAATTACTACTTAAATCACTGGTACTCCGATTCAGCATAAGATCTCTACTTTGTTCTAAAAATGATGTTTTTTTTTTTATAAAAATCATGGATTACCTGATGCCAGTACATCAATCTGTCCACTCCTTATCTGAGGCTTTCCATGTCAAACCAAAGTCCTCTTTGCACGTCTTGAGGTGGCTATTGAGGGATTTGGTAATAGAAGTGGGTTCCATCATATTTTCGGGCTATCTGGTTCGCTTTTCTTTTCGTCCAGAAAACTTCGTTATAAATAAAAACTAAACCGAATTTAGTTTTTGTAACAATCTTCATCACTAAATACTCGATACAAATCATAACAGTCATAAGAGATATAAATTATCCATTGCTTCAAGATATTTTTCTAAGTGAAACCTTACAATAGATCTTTCATAGAATTAGAGGACAAAGGATATAGAAAATGGAGTATAAGAATAAAAAGCAACTATAAAGGCTGCTCGGATATGAGACAAGATTTCTTTGAAACGCTCTGGTCAAGTGGATTACGCTCCACTGCTTCGGAACAGCACATCGCAAGAATGCTTAGAAATTCGTTGAAGCGATTTATAATTCTTCCAATTTGTACAATCTCTCTCAAATAATTTAGTCATTTATCAAATATTACTTTCATTTTTCTATCTCTTTCGTGAGTTTCAATACTATTTGTTAGTGCTCTACAGCTTCCTATAAATACAATTTGCATCTCCAGCTCGTGTAAAATCACTATTTTCATAAACAGATTCTATTTCCGTCATCAACGATAAACCATCGCTGTTTAAATATTTATTTTAATAATTTAAATATACAACATTACGCATATGCAGGCAAAAATGCATCTGGTCTCTGTTCTTCAATAAAGAAGTTCATTTTTCTGTTCATTTTCACTTCACTTCAGACAATTAATAGGGATCAATCGTGATACTCAAATTTTTGTTACATATCCATTTACATCGGGAAATTTGAGTTAAAATGAGTCATATTATATCATCCTTTACTTTATAACAATGTAAATATTCGAAAATAAATTTTGTGGGGTTTCCAACATAATTATTCCTGCAAAGTTTGTTTTACTCAAAGAATAACATAATAAAAATCAAATTTTAGCTTTCCAACTCTCTATGATCTTTTGTTATTACAAAATATCTTGAAGAGTATATTATCTTTTAAACCATATTCACTTTATAACAGGGCAGACTCTTCATCATTATCCAACAAGATTGTAAATTCTTTTACTCAATTTACTTACTTTTAGAGCTCTCTTATTGAAAATGCAATTCAAGTAGCTATCAGCCCTTAAGTAGCTATTATTTCCTTACATTTTCAGAAATAAAAAGAGAAATTAGATGATTTTTGGAAAATATGCTCTAATTTTAGCCTTAAAACCTGACCTTAACTCTTGTATTTGATTCGATGTAACATTTTCTTTTTCCAAAATCTAGAATGAGTATTTGTTTATGCCTCTATTTTCATATTTTCACCACTTTTAGACAAAGCACAAAACCATCTTACGGTAATAATTGTCTGGATTTCTTTAACTGTTCTGAAGTCTTATTAGTTCCATATCTTGAATCAAACGAATATCCTCTAAGATACTGATAAAATCTTTACTTGTAATTACGAAACTCTAGGTCCCTTAATAGATTCGGATGGAGTCTTCCTAAGGGTTTGTTCCTTCATAAAATCGACTAGTTTCAGAAACGGAATAGATTGGTTCTAGATAATTCTAAAGAAGAGAAGAGTTCAAATATTTTGTATACTCCTTCTGAATTATTGGAAATGAATCATATGGTATGGTAAATTTAAAGGGGAGTTAAAAAGTTCCCTAACCAAATGATCAGAAATTAATGAAAATTTGTCGAACATATGGCGTAGTGTTTAAATGTAAGTTAATAATATAATGCATCATAAACAAAATTCGAAGTGAAATCATTAAGTGGTAAGTCTGAAAATATCATTTTCATTTAGTTTAAGTATTCCCTCTTTTACCGAATTTTCGGAGGTTAGATATAATTTAATTCAAAGAAATCTTACCAAGTGCTTTATAACAATTATCTAAAGATTCATTATTTTATTTTTATGAGCTGCATCGTTGTTGTCTTTAAATCGTATGCTATTCCATGGATGTCAAAATAAATTCTGTACACCATACTGAACAACCTAATGTATACGACCAGATCTGGTAATAAATTATAATAAACATCACAACGCTATTTTTTTTTTTTAATGAATAAATGAAATTTTACACATTTTATTATTTTAATGAAATTAATAAACCACTAACTGTTACATTCGATTCCTCTTAATGTGGTAATATTATTGTACACTGTCTTCAGTCACGTAGTATTTAGATGTCAAATTATTTAGAACTCAGTTTAACCCTCACATACTGAGGAAGATGTGTTGTACGGCCTTCTATATACGTGTGAAACTATCTGATTAGAGAGGTATAAAACCAATCGTTTTTCCTATTGGTAAATAAATAAAGCCTAAAAATTCATCCGTTTTTCAGATAAGTCATAATTCATTCTTAAAGCCTCATAGATGCCACAGTTGCCATGGAAATCTTATCACATTATGTATGAGTTTTAAAATTAAAGTATTGCTATTTATTGGGTTGGCAAATAAGTCCTTTCGGTGTCTCTGTTTATTTTTATGTCACTATGATACACATCTTATCTGATGAATTAATCCCCAAGGTGGATTGTTTATCCTGTTTGTAATATTTCAACAATTATATCAGTTAACTCTTGTTGAAACTATCTACATACTATTGTGTTTGCTATTGCATTATGAATATGGAAGTAAATACCATTCATTATCGGCATATTTTCTTGTATTATTTTAAAAAAGGTAAGCGTGGTGCAGAACCTCATAGAAAAATTTGAAGTGTTTATGTGGATGATGCCTTAACCGAACGCACCTGTCTAAATTGGTTTGCCAAATTACATTCAGGAAATCTTGACATGAATGATGCTCAAAGTTCTAGTCGCCCACATGAAATTAAAACGTGCAATGTTAAGGTTATTGTTGATCAAAATCCTATCCAATCAGTGCGAGAGATCGCTATGGCCCCAAATGTGTCGCACACAATCGTAGAAAACTATTTGCACATGTTCGGCTATCTTTCCAGGCTTAATGTTGGGGTCCCTCACATAATTTTTTTTTCGAATATCACAAAAAATGTTATAACTTCAATACGACTTTAGCTATCTACAAGAAATTTAGCAGGAATTTAAGGCCATACAAACTACATAAAATGCCATTGCCAGGACCTTCGTAAACAAATTACAAATGGAGATAAAAAACAGAAATCCTATAAGGAGTATTTGTTTATTTATGCCTTATGTAAGCATTAAATCAAAAAACCATTCATACTGCTTTGAAGAGTAATAATCCAACTTTCCAACAGATATAGTAACATTGAATTTTGAGAACATCCTGAAGAGTTTAGAATGATTGGAAGAGTGTTGTGTTCCACCAAGACAACGCTAGGCCCCACACCTCATTGACCACTCACAATAAATTATTGAGCCTTGGATGGGACCTTTTGCACCACACTCCCTATTCACCAGACTTAGCTCCAAATGAATACCACTTATAGCGGTCTCTGAACAACTCCATGAATGGAAAGAAATTGCAAAAGGAAGAGGACATCAAAATCCACTTGGATCAGTTTTTTAACAATAAACTCCATACATTCTATGAACATGGCATTATGCAGTTAGAGGAAAGATGGGGAAAATACGATATTACATAATGGTTAATATATTGTAGATTAAAATAATTTTATATCAATAATACATTGAGTTTTATTTCATCCTCAAAAACTGAAAAAACTTATTTGCCAATCAATATTATAGTCTACGAAAAATTAAAAATCTATTAAAATGAACGAAGTGGAATAGTTTGGATAGTATGTGTGTATATATATATATATATATATATATATATATATATATATATATATATATATATATATATATATATATATATTAGTTATTTTTTAAATATTTTTCATGAGAGCTATAGAGTACTTTAAATTTTTATAAGTACCTTTTTTACTAGCAACATTAATATTTCAAGATGTGTAAAGTTTTTGATTGTTTGAAAAACTAATAAAAAGTGAACTGATTTATTAGGGAACCAGCTCAACTATCTACATTATGCATAATATACCAATATTCTACTTCAGGTACGGAATATTAGCACATTCACATAAAAATCGTGAAGAAAAGGAAAGGTTAGTTGGGCATAAAGTTAAAAGTTCATAATTTGGGGTTGCTCATACCCATGATAATTAAAAAGGTTTCTTGATTCCCTACAAAATGGAAATTTGACAATTATTAAAAACACGCAGCCAATTTTTATTTGTATACGTTTTGGTTTATTATTTTGAATTAAAATATAATTAATTATTAAAAAACTAATATTACTTTTCTTTTAATGATCTAAAGTTGTACTTTAGTAATGCTATCCATGCAGGGTCAATAAATATATAGTCCCGTGGTACAGACCCCTTTTTATCAAATTTTATCTTGAATAGCTCATCTCATCGTAATCCAAAACTTTTTGCGAATATTCTTGGGTTGAAGTTTTTGCAATCTGGAGATCGACAAAATTCGCCTATCTAATATTTAAAACGTTATGAACCCCCATTTGCTTTTCACTATTATCCTAGGATAATTTTATCATAAAATCCAGTAAATTGTAAATAATATACAATTACACTGTGTTCCATGATTTCCCTATTTTTTCCTGGTTTGGATATTTTTTTTATATTAAAAAAGAAAAACCTGCACCACTACAACCCATGAAGGGTCTTGGGTTCAGTACTATTTAGGGAAAGCACTGATTCTAGGTCAACGGTTGTACAAGGAGGTGATTTGACCGAGATCACGCTCAACCCTCAGGTTTCTCCCCATAATTAATTATTTAATTAAGGGTACTCACTTTATAGAGGCTGGGTGTGTCCCAGGAGGGTCTCCCGATCCAGGGTTTCCCCAATGAAACCGATAACTAAATTTTCCGCCATGAGCCGGGGTTCGAACCTGGGACCTTTAGCATTTTTTATATTAAAACCCTACAAAAATATTGTTCCCTCCGATAGTTCATAATTATGTCAAAATATGCCTCCATCAAAGTTTTTTAAGGTGCAACATTCGCCGTGGAACCCACATCTGGATCCCCTGAGATATTTCCAAAGATAACAGGTTGTAAAAAACATAATACTCGACTTAGTAATCAATTACAACAGGATAGATGTAATTTTTTTTTTTTTTTTGCTATAAACTATTTTAAAACTCTGTCGTAGAATAATTGATAAGAGCGAGCGGATGGTATGGGTACAGTGAAGCAGGTGACCGACGACTACGAGATGAAGAAGGTGATTGGCGAAGGAGGTTTTGGCCAGTGCCGCCTAGTGCAAGAGTATTCCACCCGGAGGAACTACGCTGCCAAAGTGATACCCACCGCCAAGTTCAAAGAAATCGAGTGGAAGTATTTAGAAAACGAGATACAGCTTCAGGCGAACCTCAAGCATAAAAATATAGTCAGGCTTATCAAGGTAAAAACATATCTTTTAATTCAAATTTCTTCTAGTTCATAAAACTCCGTATCTTGACATTTTGATGTTTTTCTAGACAAACTTATGTGAAAATAGTTGGTTAAACACTTCATTCACATACCTTTATTGATTTCAATACTGCTAAATCCTAAAACACCTCTGGTAGTCATCCATTATTAGTGCAATATTTATGGCATTTCAAATAATCTTACGAAACAAACCACTTTCAAACTTAGCATTACAGTGATTTGTGGTATTTCAACTTTATCAAAGGAGGCATTTCTTGATAAGTATAAGTTTTTCATTAATAATTTGTCTTTATCGGGATATTTTATTATAAAACGGTGTCATGTTTCATTACAGTTATTAAAGATCCATCAATGACAGTTCATCGGCAAATAATTGTCATAACATGAGTTTTATATTTACCCCTGTTCTTTCCTCTTACTATTGAGACCAATTATCAAACATTTTTTAACTGACATAAGCTCCTAAGGAGCGCCTGACAGACTGGCCTTAAGCAGTGGAGACTATCAAAAATGGGAAGAATCTTAAATAAACACGTTGTCCGGCAACCTGATAAGCTGAAGAATACAAGTTCGAATCCCGGTACCGGAGTGATTTTTAACTTAAGCATTAAAAAAAATAGCCAAAAAGGCTAGTAAGGGAAGGCGAAAAAAAATCAGATGGATCGTCTGAGAATGGAGGCTAAATATTACGGTATTTTCGATCGACTTGTTTTTTTTTCTAGCAAACATTTTATCAAATATCTACTACAAGGAGTGAAATTATCAGTGTAATTAGTCCGTTTTAAAGCTATTCTAACGTCACTCTTGGATGAGTGAAAATACCTCACTGTAGCGCCAGGGGTTTCAAAAGGACCCTGGGCTCGATGATTGAGATATAACAAAGATTATCCAAATATTTTGTAAATAAAGAAGACGATAATCCTATTGATAATATCGTTGGATCATTTGATAATCTATCCAGTACCCCAACAATCTCAACTGTTTGATAAAAATAGTCGGGACCTGATCGTATTCCAAAAAGTAAATCATAGAATGGAGATGCAAGATTTGACTTATTTTTCTTTATATCTTTTCAAATCTATCTTATATTAACCAATAAATTCAACTAAGCGTTTATTATATAAATACTGATTACTCAAAAATGACAATATTGGAACTAATCGTTATTTTGTATTACTGAATATCTTAGGCTTATTCGCCAATTTTTCATGCCTAATAGTTTCTAATAAAATTTCTGAATCTTGTTTTAGATTTATCCTAGTGAAGAGCGTTGTGTCCTTATCACTGAGTTGTGTGTTTATGGTAATCTTTTCAATTTGCTATCTGATGGTAAGAAGAAGCTGGGAAACCCCGAGAAGAAGCACATTCTCTATGGAATCATTTGCGGAGCTGAGTACCTGCACCAGCAAAATATTATCCACGCCGACATCAAGCCACTCAACGTGTTCCTGACCCGTGGGCTTATCGCTAAACTGGGCGATTTCGGAATGGCCCACAGAGAGGGAGAGTATGATAATCTGGACAGTTTTGGAGGTACTCTTAACTATTATGCCCCGGAGCTCTTTAGGATCGAACGTCACTCCAAGTCCAGTGACGTCTGGGCAATTGGTTGCACAGCATATTTCACCTACAGTGGGGAAGAGCTCTACTCATCTTCCCTTCCCAGCCAGCAGGTACATCCAATCTTAGTGTAATATTTAGTGCAAAATAGTCCTATTTAATAATCCCAAGGCGGATAGCATATGCCCCCCTCAAAAACTCAAAACTCCATAAAAATGTTCTCCACTCAAATATTATCATGGCGTGAATAGCACCATATAACCCTTTTCTGGACATTCCTGAGAAAAGAATAAGTTTTGCTAATGATCGCTATAAAATAGATTTTTTTTTTTTTAATAAAAGTTCAATTTGGCTGTATACTTTTCACCAGTGAGAAAATTTCCAACTTGCCTTCTACGTAAATTAAAAAAGAAGTCAGAGGATAGCTGGAAAACAATAACAAAAAAATCCTTCATAAACCATATGTTTTACTAAAACATATGATTTTCATTTTTACTATGCAATATCAATAATATTGTTACCTACTAAAAAAATGTATTTTTAAACCTCTTGAAAGGTGTTTTATGATTATGAGAAATTATGATTCAGACCAAGATAAGAGGGTAATGTTTCATGAAAAAATATTATATATGAAGTTTATTTATTCAGATTACATGACCAAGTCTAAAATTATTCCCTAAGCCACTGCAATCATTCAATGTAAAGGAGGGTAGTTAGTGGTTAGTTACACCACAGGTCATGTGGTCTTAATAAAGAGAACATGCTGATAAGTGAAATATGTTCCAATTTGTGTTATGGAAAAGAAAAACTAAATAAATTTTTTTTTTGGGAGCATACATTAATAGTAAATTTAACTTATTACAGCATTTTCTTCTTTTAACACACATCTCAGTCACTTCTTGAATTACATTTATTGTCAACAACAGTTTATTATATGTTATTAATATTGTGTGAGAATTACATCAAATACATTAGTAATAATAATTAAATGGAAATGTGCGGAAATTATACCTTACTTGGCCAACATTTTTTTTCTGTTGTTAATTATCAACTATTTCAAGGAATTATCATTATTAATTATTAATCATAAAAAAACAAGTTATTTATGATTTTATTATTAATTTCAGGTGACCACCCAAAGCAATCATATTCCTCACGTACATATACAACTGCATCCTAAGAACTACCCATTTTCCTCTCTTATGGAAACATTCCACCATCGTCCTTTTCTTGAAACCTGGCAAACCTTTCAATAGTACATCATCATATAGACCAATTAGCCTAATCCTTTCCAAATTTTTTGAAAAAATCCTACTGAAAAGAATCCTACCCATAATAGAATCCCAAAACCTTCCAACCCACCAATTCAGATTTCGCTTCCAACATTCCACTGTCCAACAACGACTCCGACTTGTTGACCACATATCCTCAGCCCTAGAAAGCAAAGAGTACTGTTCGGGGGCATTCCTGGACATTGCGCAAGCTTTTGATCGGGTATGGCACGCCGGACTGCTCTTCAAGCTCAAATCCCATCTACCCCATTCCTTATATCTTATCCTCCGATCCTACCTCTCTGATCGCTCCTTTCAAGTTCGCTATGGTACAGAATTCTCCAACTACGGTACAGATATTTTCCAATCCAGATCCTGAAATAGCATCCTTAAACCTACAAAGTCACCTCTCTCTTATTGAACACTGGTGTAATAAGTGGCGAATCCAAGTAAATGAATCCAAATCCAAACATATTACTTTTACCCTTCGACACAATACCTGTCCACCAGTCTACTTTAACTCCATACCACTTCCTCTGTCCGACACAGTCCGGTATCTTGGCTTTATTCTAGACAAAAGACTAACATGGAACCCACACACCAAACTTAAAAGACAACAACTTAACAGACGATACGGACAACTATATAGACTATTGAATAGAAAATCTCAACTCTCAGTCGGCAACAAACTATTAATCTACAAGACAATCCTATTTGGACCTACGGAATAGAACTGTGGGGGACAGCAAAACTTTCTAACATCAAACGCATTCAATTCTTCCAGTCTAAAATCCTCCGAACAATAGTCGATGCTCCCTTCTATGTATCCAACAAAACCCTCCATAATGACCTTCATATCCCATTTGTTATTGACCTAATCCCAGAAAATTTTTCCAAATTTCACCAGAAACTCATTCATCATCCAAATCCTGTAGCACAATCCCTATCTAGCTCCAGTCATCCCTACAATCCTCCCCGGAGGTTAAAACGGCAGTGGCCCTGCGACCTTTTGTAAATATTTACATATTGGAGTACTGGCAATGGCCAGATTCTCCACTGAAGCCACATGACCGTCTGTTGCTATAGTGCCCTCCATCAGTTTCCACTGGTTTTAAATAACAGTGTCGCGGCTGAGAGAGAAGCACTGGGATCTCCTGGAGTCCTGCCTTGGCTTCCACGTCGGGGAATAAGGCATGACTCAGAGTCCCCTGGGTGAATGTAAATATTGTACATAGGTGTGAATGTGATTTATTTACTTTAATTTCATCTAGCTTTTATCTATTATTTCATTATTTTTTTTTGTACACAGGCATACCAATTTACTTATTTTATTTTATTTTTTTTAATATTTCTTTTTCTTTATTATTGATATTAATTGTATGTACATATTGTGTGAATGAATCATGTAGCCTTAATATTAATGCCCTTCAATGTGGTAGAATGTATTAATATTCAATAAAGAAAGTTAAAAAAAAAAAATTTCAGGTGAAAAACTTAATATGCAAAGGAGTTCCACCACTAGAAAACTTGTGCATAAGTAAAGAATGGAAGAATTTTTTAGAACTTATGCTCCAATTGAACCCGAGAAAACGTTTAAAGTGTAGAGCTTTGCGACGACAAGCATTTTTATATCGAAAAAAATCCAGAACAGTAAATCAAAGAGTGCTAAACAAACTTGTTCCTTTTATGCTCAAATGAAGATGTTTAAAGAACTCAGAGAGTTATAAGTAAACATTAATGTTGACTCAACATGGTTGGGTAAGTAAAATAATCATTGTGTTAGGAAGGGACATGAGGATAAAATTATATACTTGTATATATGTATGAAATTACTTTACATAACAAATATTTTTTAATCAATCCTTATTAAGTATATATTTGCATTAAGTGATTAATGCAAAAGGACTGTTATAATTTATGTAAGTAATGTAGAATGCAGGTATGATTAAAAAGTACTATTTAGGATCATTTACTTATAATAAATAAGAGCAAGGTTCAGCACATATTATCACAATTACTTTATAAAACTTACCATTATATGTAAGATATATATTCTTTTAATGTATTATTATTTTTTTTTTTTTGCTTATTGTGTGTGCAGTCCTTTTTTCAAAAACTGATGTTGCAGGCATATCAAACTTTGACCTGGCTCCCCATCATTGAAGTGATAAGAAAATAAGGCATAATTTTACAGTGCTTGTTTGTAAGAAGAGACTGGGAAACCCTGAGAAATGTTAGTATTGACGCTTGGTGGTAGGGAGATATAAAGAAAATTGTTCATACCTACCTTCCATGGAGCGTTGATCTTTAAAACTAATTTTCCCAATCACTCATTCTACAAAGTTTGTACAATGTTTTTTCCCCCAAAACAGTCCAGGTTATCATACTCTCCCTTTCTATGATCATTAGAAATACTCAGTTTAAAGATGGCCTTTTGTCATGAATATACTTAGCTGCTAAATGTTGACTTGATAATATTTTGTCAGTGAAATATTTGATATTCATAAAATTCAATTGAGGATGGCTCTTTTCTCCGGGTTTCCCAGACAGAAAGCAGGCTACTTCGGTTTCTGCAGATGCATTACTCGGTGAGTCATGCATTTATTGAAACCGTCGCATCCTGCTATCTGATTACAAAATGGAGTCTGGAAACCCGATCAACTGAATGCATCCACGCTCACTCTAGTGGGTAGGTATGGATAATTTCAATCATTAACATTACTAATCACTAGAATCTAACAAGAGTAATCACTGCTACCCGATTCTGTATGCATTAACCTGTGAAGCACAATCTAATTACTATATTTTTCATCATACATGTAATGCAGTCTGTAATTCATAATACAGACAACATACATGGACCACAAAGTTGCATGTTGAATTTCTCATTGAAATACCATAAGGATCTTCAATCATGGTATCAAGCCGCCTGTTATATGGCTATTAAATACTTATATGTATTTTGACGTGGTTCCTTCATCTGTAATTATGTTTATCCTTTTGTATTTTCTTTCCAGACCTCTACTCTGAACATTTCTGTAATGAGGAAATTTTTTGCAGCTTACATTCAGTTCATATAGAACTCTAAACTTCATAACTGTTTAAATAAGTTACATACCTAATACTTCATCCACTGGACTTATGAATAAATATGTTTTATTAAACTTTTTGGTGGAAACATTACATTAATAATATGAACATCCGACCTTCTACACCCTCTTCCCAACAAGTGACATCTTCTAAAATTTTCCAGTCTACTTATTTATTATTTCATAACAATTTTCTTACATTCTTAGCAGCTATTATACAATTTCTGACCTCATGTAATCATTCCTAAGTATTTAAAGGAGATAAGCAGTCACTGTCAGAAAATTGATTTTAAAAAATAACACTGTTTTTCCAATTTCATGAAAATGGAATTACCTGCAAGCGGTAAAATGTTGTAACTATGAAAACCTAACCATCTTAACCATTGGGTATGATATGATGAGCATATAACTCCTGATAAACAAAATACCAAATGTATCCCAACCTCACAGATGGTAGTCTTTCCAGCAATGATTTAATGCATCAAAGGATGCATCTAGTGATGTTCATCTTATATAAAGATAAAAAATAAAGTCAAGATGGCTTCATTTTTTTTTTTTTAATTTATATTGTTATCAAAGTCATAAACTGAATTATTTCATCACAAAACTAAACCTATTGTTCCTTAGTGCAGCTTGTACAAAACATCCTCTGTTGGCTATGATGATCTATCCTCAAATATATACTATCCAAAACAGGACATAGAATCTCCCTTTTTACCTGAAATTAATTTGAACATCTTTAATAAATGTTAATATTTGGGTTTTCAAACCAGAGGCATGTTTTTAATCTGTGGTTGAATATTTCAATAATCATAAAATAATCTTTAATAGTTTAGATGTTAATAGCAACAATGTTTCTTAGTTTTATTAATTACAGTTGAATATGAAAATATGAAAAAATTAGCATATAAAATTAATTGTAAAGATTTAAGTTGAGTATCTGTAGAGCACAAGAAACAATCTAATTAATTCTCTCATTTCTAGGTTAATATTTCAGGAGGAAGAACTACTTAAAAATTAAATGTTTGTATAAACTACTCCAAAATGAAAAAAATGTATTGATTACATGAAACCCAGCTTGTCTTCAAGTTGTCTGGTTTAAAGGAAGATCATAAAAAAACAACTCTATTCACAATGCGAAGTTCAGTACCTACCCAACTAATCCATCCCTCCTTGTATAAGATAATTCTTTAAAAACTAAGTGTATCAGTAACTGTATTAAATAAAATGTGTCAATGTTTTAACTTTTTTCATCAATAAATCATGAATTATGTCTGGTCAGAGGTTACATAATCTAATTTGAGGATTTTTGAAAATACAGATCAAAATGTTTGGTTAGAATATATGGAAAGGGTCAGCATTCCCATGTCCAGTGTAGTGTGAGTTACCTTCATTGTTAGTCTCATGAGCCACACTAAGGAAAGAGGAAACATCCTCACGAAGTTCACAGGTAAAGTTTCCCTTGTAGAGCAGTCATCCATGAAATTATAAACCACACTCAACAGTCGTAACTGTAAGTTATTACTGGTTTAACCGGTATTTGCTCCTCTCTACCTGTAATTTGATTTAAGTTCATTAAAGCAATGAGATTTCACAAAACTTTCTCTCATAAATCTATGTCTCTGCCCCATAGATCATTATTCTCAGTAACATAGTTTTAATAATTCTCTGTTTGTTCTTGAAAAAATTGTTCTACTCTCGAAATTAAATTAAGAGGAAAGATATTTATACCGAAGATATCAAGTTAATTTTAGATACATGAAATGAAATGAAAAAATTATTTTATTATGGGACTACAATAATAACAGAGTTAAAAATTTATGACTTCGAATAATAAAAAATACAAATTAATTAACTGTATTATGTTAATGCAATTGTGCAGTAGAAGATTGAAATTATATAGTATACAGATGCAAGTTATTTTATATATTTGCAGAGCAGGTGGTGAAACAGGAGTTGTTTGAAGGAATTTGTGGACGAGGATAGAAATATGGAGGTAGGAAGAGAGTTCCAAAAGGAGGTAGTACGAATGACGAAGGATTTGCTGAAGGAAGTAGTTTTATGGGAGGGGATAAATAAATCTATAGGTTGAGACCTGGTATTAAGAGAGTGGATAGAGGAAAATAAAGTAAGGAGTTCTAGGATGTAGGGAGGGTTTTTGGTTCTGAGGACTTGGAAAAGGAAAACAAGAAGGAGGAATTATATATGTGTAGAAGTGCGAGAAGTAAGTCTGGAAGGCAGAGTTTGATAACTTTAACAGGTATTTGATCAGAACCATAATCGTTTAATTTGTACTTAAGGGTGGCAGAGAGTAGGTCAGTAAAAGAGATATCGAAAAAATAAAACTTATCAGGATCGGAAGGGGTTTTGGTGATGAAAAAAGATGAGCGATCAGATGGAAATGTGGATGGAAAATGGTTAGTGAAAAAGGAGTTTAGTTTGTTCGGATTGACTGGATACTGTGTACAGGTTTTCAAGCTAACAACAGAGAGATTCTTAAAGATTGTCCATTTGAATTTAGATTTGGGTTCTTGTACTTTATTAAAGTACTGGGCTATGGTGTGAGGTTTCATAGAGATTTAAATGTGGAATAATGCTGAGGTAGTTGAGTACGTCAGTAGCGTCTTCTAGCAGCCTCTCTTCTCCTCATTAGTTTTGTTATTTCTAAAGCTAGTTATTTCTAAAGAGCAGGAGAAAGTCTAAAGATATGTGTTTTTAGAGGTGCGTGGAAATTGAAGAAATCAAGGATGTTGGAAGAAAAGCATTCAACCATGTCATCGATGGAGGGGAGAGAATAAATGGGTTCTAAGGAAGCAGAAAGGGATTCGAGAAAAGGGCTTATGTTTTCAATCATTAAGAAATCAAGATCACTCCAGGAAATGTGTTTGGGTTTAGGTGTAGGATTAGAGACGTTTTATGATATCTCAATAAGATCATGAGATGAAAGGAAGAGAACTGGAATTTGCCTAGAGGATACTAGGTTATGAAGGAAATCAATAATGAATAAGTCTAGCCAAGTATCAATTGATTGTGTGGTGGGTGGGTTGAAAGGGTACAATAAATAGTTCTAGGGAAAAAATAAGTAAATTAGATATGTTCTGTCCGGTGTATTTGAAAGGAGGATGGTGTTGAAATCATCTGCAATAATAATATTTTCAAAGATAGGAATATTTGTAAGGAGAGAGGATTCAAAAGTGGGATCAAATCGGACACAAGGAAGGCGGTAAATAACGATGAAGAGTAGGGAAAAGGTACTGGAGGAAACTTGGACAAACAGATATTCTATGTTCGGGAGGTCGGAAGAAGGAGATTTTAGAAGGACTTTGGCAGTCAGACTGTCATGAACAAACAATCTCACACCTCTGCCTGTTCAGTCCATTCGATCATGACGAAAGAAGGTATAGTTAATTAAAGTATAGTTACATGTTGTCCTTTCTTTTATTTTCTGTGCTCAAGTATGCCTTATATTCTTCTAGGAATATGTTATATAAGAAATATATTTATATATTCTCAGTGTCAACAATGGAGCCAAAATAATTAAAATATTGACATTCTTTCAATATTCCTGGATGTTCTTTTATTTTGCTGCAGGATATCTTAACTTATGATTTTGTCTTTTTTTATGCATCAATTTCAAGCTCCTCCTCGCAAACATTTTTAACTTTCTCATCATCTATTTCTTCTCTTTTGTATCAATAGTGTATTGGCCAACAACTAATAAATAGCAACCATAGTTTTACATTTGTTTCTGGCCTATAGTATATCTAAGCATAATTGATGGGTCAAGTGGTTAAAGGGGATAAATAACATTTTCCCTTATAAAATATATTTCAAATTACCTCTATCCTCTCCAACTTACAGACAACACCTGGACAATAACAAAGAAAGGAAAAACTAATGAATTCTCTATAGATCTTTTCTAGATATTTGGGGCAAACATCATATTACTTCTACTTATTTTCTAATTTTTCAATGCTTCTTTCTTAACAAGTTTTTCTTTGTTTCCATAGATTCTTCTATTTCCTCTTTTTTACCCTCAATACACTAATGTATCACAAGGTAGCATTTTAAGCCCATTCCTCTCTTATCCATACATCCCTGAGCATCCTAGCACCTCCTTTATTTATAGTTTCACTGACAATACTACAATTTTTTTAAAAATAAGAATCCAATTATTACATTAATTGCCCTTCCAAACCACCTCTATGACCTTGAAAAGTGGTTCAAAAAATGAAAAATTAAAATAAATGGTTGCCAATCTAACAATGTAAGTTTCTCTGTATGGAAAGCCTCATGCTCATCTGTAATTATTGACAATAATCCAGTGCCAAAAAAAATAAAAAATATATGAGCAGTCTTTTCTACTTACAGAAAAGACTTACTTGGAACATACATACAAAACTAAAAACACAAGAACTGGCAAGAAAATATAACCAACTTTCACATCTTCCAGACTACAGATTATGAACAACTTACGAAACAAGCCACTAATCTTCAACATAATACTGAGACAAATTTGGATATAAGAAGCAGAACTTTGAAGTTTTGTGAAACAAACACACATAAACAACACAATAAAAAATTCTATGAAAAATTGTTAACGCATGCACCATGGTGGTGGTGTATTTCAAATAACACAATATATAACTTAAATTTTTCAACAGGAATTCAATTCTACATTGACGACAAATTCACTACACTCATTCACTCATTAACTCAAAATCACCTCAATCCACTAGTGGCATCTGGTTCTTTCCATTTCTTCCTCCCTGTTATCTGCTTGATGCAGATGAAAAGGAAAATATCCAAGAGGCCTGCTCCTTCAATGATTACAAAATTAAAGGTATTATCAAACCTATTTGAAGATAATAATAAGTACATTAAATTTGCTACATTTGCTCAGGTGCAAATGAAGATTAAAATAGAATTGAAATATCTCTATCGAGTATAACATTGATGTTTATTGTCAATGAAATATTAATAAAATATCACTATACTTCTTAATTACTAATGATAATTAAATTATTCTTAAAAATGCACTTATGACTTTTATCCTCTTGACCCATCAATTTCTTTTGGGAAAAAAAATATTTTTTTAAAAAAGTTTGAATTATATGTGTAAGAAATTCCTAGAAACATTTTGAACAATTAAAGGAAAAATCATTTTCTTAATATGGATAGACTCCGAAAAATGGTATATATTTTTAACATAACAGTTTTTTATTAATTAAAACAAAAAGGTTTCAGGGATTACGAGAAAGGAATGTAAGAAAACAAATTGAAGCTAACTAATCATAATTTATTAAAACTTGCCCAATACATTATATACTTTATGCAACCTTTTGTATGAAAGATCTTTTCCTTAATATTAATTTAAAGGTATCAATTATTTATAAATTGCTCATTGGTATTATTTTCAACAATATATAACAATAACAAATACACAAATACACTTAAATACAGGAAGTTTCAAATATCAACATATTTTAAAGCTTAATTATTTCCATGCTCTAGGTCCTTTTGAGAATAGTTTTAGCAAGAATTGTTTATCTAGTTTTTTTTTTTTTATTGTTTATGAATTCACAATCCATACCTAATAAACTTTATTCATGGTATTCACTTTCAATTAACCTGCTTAATTTTTTGCATCAGTTATAAGAAAACTGTATTAAAACTGAAAATACAAGAAAATGTACATTTTATTGATAGTTTTCTATACTCAAAAGGACCCAAATGAACTATTGAAGAAGTTCAATATAAATTTTTGATAATATATTATAAATATCACGTATTTTTTAAAGATTTTTAAAAACAGACAGCTAAAAGACAGATAGAGATACAAAGACAAGACATATAGCATTAGTTACTGAAAACCAAGGAGCGACGTTATTTGTGAAAACTGAAATTTGTAAGCAACTAGCCCAAACATTCTTTTCTTTTTTTTATAATATTTAAATTTTTAAATCTTATCTGAATATATTTAACAATAAAATATGATAAAATTTATTTTTAAACTTTTATATACACTGGCAATAATAATTTGACTAGCTGGTAAAAATCATTTTACATATTTTTTAAAACCAGCAATAGTGAAGAAAAAGCCTTCATAACATTGCCGCCCAATGGTGAAAAAAAATAAAGATGAATGTGGGTAAAACAGAAACAGATCGTGACGTCATAAGAAATATGATTCTAGAAGTATGAAATAGAAGTTAGTATAACTGTTATACATATCTCAGCTAAACTAATCAAACACGTGATAAGTATTTCAATGGGCGGGGTTTCCCTTACTTCAGTCACAGTGCAGATTCAGTTATATTTTTTAAAAATAAATATTATAAAAAAATTCTATAAATAATTTTTTGGACCGTTCTTATGAATATAAAATTCTTATTCAAGAAGCAAAATACTCAAATTTTCAAAATAAATTATCATATTAAAATACTTTCTTAGCAATATAAAAATAATTCATATTAATACAACAAAATTTACTATGGCAAAGCAAAATTCTTGAACCTTAATAATTAAATGTTTGAAGACCAATGAGACACTTCCCTTTGGAATAATGATTTTAACAATGAATGACAAAATGTAAAAATAAATTTATATATGATATATTTAAAGCAGTTATCTAAACATAAATTGAATGAATTAAGAATGACAGAGAATTATTTAGGTTGACGTCACAATCTTTAGCACTTCTCTTGTAGGAAGTGCTATTTGATAAAGACAATTTTCTACTAGGCCTTGGTACTATTCATAAAAATCACTCAAAAACGATATGTGAGAGGTTCTGCAATTTTTTTTTTTTTTTTTGCAACAATACCTCTTTGACCCCGCTAAACAAACTAAACTCTAACTCGTAACTAAACTTAATGTCATGAAATGTTACTTGCTTTAATTTATTTAGAAAAATAGATCCAGGGAATGCACTCTTTGTGCAGTCATGCCATTCACAACGTGATGGTAGAGGGTAAAATGTGGATATCAAACACACATAGGAAATAACACATACCACTAAATAGTGAACACTAATAACAGAATAAACAACACTGGAGCAGGCCCAGCCTGCTCCCTGATACACCGATATGATCACAAAACAAGGCGACTCTAATCATAACACTAGGGAAGGGGTAATGTAACAATAAACGAAAACAGCATCGGTGAGCTTTGTGTTAAAGGCAACTTGATCTAACAAAAACGATCTCTCCGACTTTCAATTTTTAAATATATTTATTTTTTTATTTTTTATTTTTTTAGGAACATTACTATCAGCTAATAATAAATAAATGTGTATGATACAGTTTCCTCTGCATCTCATTAATATTTTTAAAAAAAGAGATCCAATTTAGAGGCAGAGTATTTTGTGCATGGAATTAAATATATAAATATATGCTATACAAGTGTATATATATTTATAAAAGGTGTTCATAAAATAAGTGCTCAACTGCTACAATTTATGATTTTTATAACTATTTTTCTTTAGGTCTGTTAAATCTTCTTGTAGCAGTATAGCAAAATTACAATCCAAAATAATTAATTTATTATAATTAAGACTAGGCTTCTTATAACAAAGATAAAAATTTAAAAATTAAATCTACATAACCTAATAATAGATTTTTTTGGTTCAATAGAACATTTTGTTTTTTTATGAAGAACACATTTAAAAATTTAAAAACGAAATACAATCTGTTGTATCACAATATTATAAATGTATAATTATTATATATTTCTTATACATTTTAAACTATAACATATTTTAAAAATAACAAAGTTCAACATAATTTAAAACAAGAAACATTGATCACATCAATTATGATAAGTATAAAAAAAAAAAATTTTTGTTATTCTGAAATAAATGGAATTATCAGTTCTTCAGAATCCTTCTATTAAATAATTATAAAAATAACTAATTTATGTTCTCCCAATTGATCTTAAAAATGTCTGACTACAGCTACAAAGAAAACAATGTCAACCAGTTGGTATCCAAATTGTGCCTGAAGAAGGAAGATCAATGCTGTCTCAATAGTATTTAATATTTACATGAACTACTGATAAAGGTATTGAGGGGAATCCCGGAATTCTAAACAAACAAAAATCCTGAATAATATTAATCCTTGTCTGCCATTCAAGATTATGAGGAAATAAACATAAATGGTAAAACAAAAACAATATTATTTGAACTCAAGAATTAATTCAAAATAAACCAAAGGAATAATGATTGATTCATTAAAAATAAATCTTATAAAATTCAAAATCAACTGTAGCAGAGATTCAAAGTAGAAATTTGTTTCATACTCCGAAGAAAAATAACTATTTCTCACTCACCTTTTTCAAGCAAATAAATACTAGTTTATACATTCCTTAGACTTCATGAATCTACAAAATATTTGAATGAATTTGGTGAGTCATGATGTTGGAATGTTGGTGGATGTTTTATGATCAAGAGCTGGGAGCCCTCTTATGTTTATTAATTTTATTGAGCCATATTTAGGCTATATCATTTTATTTCAAGGGAAGGCTCTAACGATTGATAGTTTAAAATTTAATTGTTTAAAATATTTATCAAAATAAATTATTTTGAGATATTTTAAATTATTTATTAGATAAAAGTATTTGAACAGTCTTGATATTTCCAATTGAAACCTACAATTGCAAACTACTCAGTCCAAAAAATTGCACTCAACTGCAGATTTTTTTTTCTTTTCTTGTTTATTTCAGAATAAAAGAGCTAGATTAAGGGAACTTTTAACTCAATGAATAACCTAAAGATTAAATTTAAAAAAACTTGAGCTATGAGTAACTGTCTCCTAATCACGAAAAAAATAATCATGTTTTCCTACTCAATGCCTCAGATGGGTAGCTCCTAACTATGCTAGAAAACAGATTGTGCCTGTCAAAGAGTCAATCCTATACTATTTTTTTTTAAATTGTAGTTAAATGAATAACATATTAAATTTACTCACAAATCCTTTCTTCAGAAAACAATAAGTTCTCAATCTTTTTCGTTCCTTCATATTATTAAATGATTTATCTATTAACCAAAAGTAAAATTGGTTATATTTTTTTGTATTTTATGGTCATATTTTATGAATTTTCTAAAAGAAAAATACATTTTTTCATCATGCATTTACTTTTAGATAACTTGCCAATAATTGTAGAAATTTTGCACTTACCAGATAAACACCCTGAGTCAAAAGTGCAACAATTTATAATACAATATGCAAATAGACAAAAAGCAATAGTGTGCTTTTATACATTGTAAATACTTTTGAATATTATTGCCTACAATATATCATTCATATTACTTGGTTGACTCAAGTGCAAATGGAGAAGATGGAAGTACTCTTATCGAGTATCGGAATACGCCTAGATAAATAAATGACATCAATAATCTATATCTCTACATATATGTCAATGTAATGCTTCTTATGGCGACAATAGAGATTCCGACCACCTGTGACTTTAGGATTATACTACTCAGGAATATGAGAAAGGAAGACGACATTTTTATGTCTCTAATATATTCTACAATCATTAATAGATGACCACCTTTGTTGCTGTTGAAATGTACAATGGAGTCAATGAGGGGTGCTTAGCCAGGAAAAGGTCAGTCATGATTTGGTGATTGCAGTCTGTTATTTCACTCTCCAACTGTTCAGTCGTCCCAAGTGGGAAAGTTGGTAGGAGCCACAAAGAGTGGATTCTGCTGTGTGGGCGGCTCCCATTGCTGTTGAGGTTGCTGCCATTGAGGTTGCTTAGGACTCACGGTATAACTAGTTTGCCATTGAGGCTCTCCTTCAACGGTGGTCGTAGGTACCACGGTCCCGCTCAGTTCTATATTGGTCTCCTTGCTCTCAAGCGTACTATGTTTGATACCATAGTAAAAGTATACAAGAAAACCTGTAATTAAATTACTCAATCAGATTTATATCAGAAACATAATTTTCATATGGAAGAATATTTCTTTCTTTTATAAGTCTATATAATATTATTTAAAAAAACTAAATGCAGCAAAAAACTTTTAAAACTTAATAAATAATAACTGAATAGTTTCCTTCAGTATTATGTAAATTTCAAAAACAGTAATCAATACACAATCGACTGGTATATGCTGTAGATGAAGAACAAGAATATATATGAAAAATTGTAATCCTGTTTTAGTAGATTCTATTAGGAATAGCAAAGTGAGGGATAAAATAACATTAGAAATTAAACTTTTACTTGGTATTATATTTTTTATTTTTATCATAAACATAAAAAATATAATTACTGAACAGAAATATCAAAATACACTATTCCTAACTTAAAATTAATAAATAAATTCATATTCGTTTCCTCAAAGGAATATAGAAAATAATGGGATAAAAAAAAAAGGAAGTGCTGTCTGTCAGAAGGTTTATGTAATTAATGTAATAATATATGACAATAGAAATGGATTGGTTTCATGATGAACAAATCCCTAATAATTTAATTATTGATAAGTCAACAGAATGGGTTGATTGAAATTGTGGTTATAGGATAACATCAAGACTGATACTGCACTACTAACAAAGAAGTGCTTATTTTAAAAATTTATGTTTCGGTGCATCTTGCGATGCAAGTAATTGAGTCCAATGGCTAATGATTGAATAGATGAAGAGCTGAACTATTGAGACTGAAACAGCATATCGGGCCTTGAGAAGCTTCCTCGGAAGTTAGCTACTAGGGTGTAGAAGATATTTGTGAAAATTCAACAGTGAATCCATTCTAATATCAACTGAATTCAATAATAAAAAACCAAATACCATTCTCTTTGAGCTTCCCACTTTGTGTGAGTCAATGCATCAAATGACAAGAGCATGTAATTAGAATAGATGATGATGGGTGAGCTTCCAAAACTTTATACCTAGGAACCTAAGATAAGAGTCATAACACCTGGAAGACTGGATAAAAAGTAAAAGGACTCAGTGGTTGAGGACTTGAAGAAGATGATAGAGATATAATGCTGCTGAGCACCTGATTGGGGAATAACTGGAAAAGTCAGTTTTAAGAGACCCAAGAAGAGCTCCATGCAGGGTCAATAAACAAAAATCTGGTGTGCGCTCTACTTTGAATAAAAATTGTTTTATGGCAATTTTGGATTATTATAAAATATTTGAAGTGCATTTTAATTGGAGCTAAGGTTAAAGCTTACAGATAACAGATCATTAAGGCTATTAAATTACAAAAAGTCTATTTATTAAATCAACGGTAGGCAATAAAAATCTACATACTCCATCTGCTTTTATAAACCACACAACTTCTGTCTATGAACCTTTCAATGACTAATTCCAATTTCAATATTTAGTTAGTAATGTAGTTTTAGTGATATTTCTTGTTTGAAAAGTTGTATCTATACAGACAGTGAATACGTTGATTATAGAATATGTGATTGCAGTGTTGAAATATAGATCTGTGAATAAAGGTATAAATTTTGCCAAGAGAAACATCACTAAAAATTAATAATAAAGAATGTTGAAATTCGAGTTAGTCATTCTGTCAACCGAAAGGCAGATATCTGGCTCGAGAGATTTGAAAATATATCTGAATATTTAATCTATAAATGATTATCGATTGTTGGCCTATTAGTTATTAAACTTATTTTTCATTGTAAAGTTTACTAAAATGAAATTACGAGATTTTCATTGTCTGCCATGGATGGATCAAAAGTTTTCACACTAATTGTAAGTGGATAATGCTGGGATTTCACAAAGGGAAAATTCATCAAATTATTCATTAATTTAATTTTCTAAAAGGTTACTTGATAATTTTTTTGTAATAAACGGCTAATAGATACCTAATTGTTTAAATATCTAGAGTTATTAAACTACAGTATATGTATTTAATGTTCTAAACATATCCATGAAATTTTTTTATATTTCACTTCTTCTTTCACACAACTACAATGAAATAGTATTTTACAATAGCATTGGCTTGATTCTGAGGAATTTAAATACTTTTTTCAAACTTAAAAAAAATTTAAAAGTTACTTTTAGTAAGAAAATTTTATTCAATTTCCTTGAAAATACCTGATTTGTGTTAAATAATGTTAGTTTTTAGAAATTATTATTTATATTTTTTTATCACTCTCTGTTGCCTTCTACAACTATATATATTATATATTGTTTTTCTTTAGTTTTCCGCTTTCGAATGATATATTATATGTATACCTTCTGACTATTATTTCCGGATATTCATTTTCGACCTGGATAAGCATTTTTATTTTGTTCTCCTTTATTCAATTATCAAATTCTTTCAAAAGTTATATTTAGCATTTTTTCGTAACTCTTAATAATGAGAGATTAAAATGAACCATATTAAAGGTTCTGTAGAAGAAGACACATATGAACATTGGGCATTTAAGCTCTGTAAAGTGACATCAACGGGGATAAGACTTTAATGATATTAAAGACCACTTAATTATGCAATGATAATCTGAGTTTAATCAAAATCGTTTGAGCCATTTTTGAGAAAATTGTAAAAATGTGTTTCGCCATTGATATAAAGTGGCACTTCTGGTTAGACGATTTTAAGGAAAAAGTCGCTGTGACATCTAAAGTATACACCTATCTTAAATACCTAATATCAGTTTCGTACAACTTTTCGATTTTGAGCGAGAGTGTTCACATACACACAGACCATTTTTTGGGACTTGGTTATTTGGACTCAGGGGACCTCAAAAAGTGCATTTCCGTTGAAACCTGAGATTCAAAAATTTTCACGATCGCAATACTTACCCTTATTATATATTACATATATAGGTAAGTGAAAATAATAATAGTACCCAAATTGAGATTGGTTTACCTATTGTCATCCATACAGTAAATCTCACAAGAGTGAGAATAGAGAGTTTAAAGATGAGGTAGATGTTGACCATTACAGCTATTGCAGGAACAAATGGTAAGCCAGGAGTCATAAACCTGAGTGTTTTCCTTAAAAATAAAAATAATAAATACATGTTAACAAAGCAATTTAAAAAGGTTAGTAGGCAAAAAAATAAAATATACATTCACTCAATCATCTTAAGAACAACTGGTGGTAACACCTTGGAGGTTTGGGTTACCACCAGCTCGGCATGTTACCAGCCTTCTTGGGAGCATAAAATATTGAATTTCTCAAAGACATTAGTTTTTGTGACAATCAAAAAATTGTAATTGAAAAAATTAATAAGTGTTAAGTACAAAAAAATGACATTTGAACATAACCAACAACTCTTTTTAACTACAGAAGAAAAGAATAATGAAAAAACATAATCAATTAAAAGCTTAATTATAAGATATAACATTTTATTATTGAATAATAGAAATTTTAGTAAAAACATATTTTTTAGTAAACTTATTTGTGTATTCATATTTTTTTATATTCTATTAAAATACAAACAACTAGTATATCATCCGTTTACTGCAAAAAGTCATTAAGTAGGATTTTATTAAGTTGTACAATAATACTGAGAATTATGATGAATTTTTCCACTTTGAAATCAGAACATTAGGCATTTAGAGTAGCTATATTTAGTACACAAAAGAGTTTGGATCATTTCTTTGTCCTTACTGTATCAATTTTTGTACTTTTGTATACTTTTTGTATCAATAAATAAGATTGAAATTTACAAAAATTGACTTAAAAGTTCAGCTTCATCAAAAAAGTACTACATAGATTTTTGCAATAAACCGACAATATGTGACTTTACTGGAGTTTTCAGTTAACCAAGGGATGGTTACTCTGGTTAGGTATAAGATAAGACTATCCTATCCTAAGCTAATCATTTTAGAATAAGTTAATCATCATTCTTGCCTAAAACGAATCACTGGATGAGTCAGGTTTCCAAATGAAATTGGTACATAACTAGTTTGGATATTTACACTGAGGCTAAATGGGAAACAATTAAGTCCAAGACTACATTAATCTTTAAGTAACCTAAATATTGAATCAAGAAATGTGCAGCTTGGAGTAAAATAAAATCACTAAATACTTAGACTCACCGGTTTTGAGGTTTCCTAGATATTATTAGAAGAACTCCAATTATTGCTGGCAATAGAATGCACACAAGAAATGTTACTATCGGTGAATCGGAGCCCATGCCGCAAACAATAGTCAGATCGAAAAGCAGAATAAGAACATATAGGAGGGCAACTAGTTTCATCACAAGACGCCCTGATTCTTCAGTTGCAGGACCAGTATCTACCCAAGGAAATATTGCTGGGCAAAGGTAAGTAGCTGCCTGCAACAAAAAAGAAAACATAATTGATAAAATAACTATTGTTCCAGGAATCGTAGCATTTATCAAAATGACGAAGTTTCTGCTTGATTTAATTAGTTTCCCAGTATTCCCTACCTCCCTCCAACATTCCCTTCTCTCAGCAGTGCTATCACCACTTATTTCACAAGTGATCCTCGGCAGTGGAAAGCTTCCACAACAGGTAAGTCTGATTATTTTTATTATTTAGTAGAGGTAACATCGCCTAAATGACGAAGCGATACTCTTTGGCATTAATAATTGTAACAATTTAGTTGTAACAATGAACAGTATCGTAAATCATAATACCTCAGTAGTTAAAATAATGTTGGATATTTCCTTCTTTTTTTTTTTTGTTTTTATATAATACCTAAGTAATTGATAAGGTACTTTCTTTATTTTTGTTATATCTCTAGCCCCTAGAGTAGGCCATGCCTTAATATTGTTGATATAATATATTTACATGATCACTTGACATTTACAATGTTTTTTTTTAGCATAATGATCTCTTCATATTTTGTAGTGCTTCTTGTCTTACCAATGTTCCTTAGAATAATGATCGTATAATTTTAGGTATTACAATCAATATTTCACTTGGTTAAGATAATTTAATATTTTTATTCCAATCAAATTTATTTTTTCTGTTTAAGTATTTTTTTTTTTTTTTTTTTTTTTTATATAAAATACGACCCAAAGTTTCAAAGAATATTTAATTTGTTTATGTTTTAAAAAAAGGTTTTTATTTTTTTGTTCAACAAAGAAGAGTTTTCTTATGTACTTCAAAACAAATAATAGTTTGCATGAAAACAAACTTTTCATTAATAACCAACATAATATATTCAATAAAATATTTTATTTTTTATAACTGAGACCAATTCATATGGGAAAGAAAAATAAAGGACCTGTATTTTTCTGGCAATATGCGAAAGAGCTGGTCCTGGAATGCTTGCACTAGCACTTCCACCATGGACAGTTCCATAGAATTTATTTTCACTTGCATCAGACACCAGAAATTGATCATCTCTCACTCCATCTTCAGTTTCTTCTGTCATTGTATCATCTGAATCAGGTGAGCTAAAATGATATTTGAGTATTATCAGTTAATAGAATTGTTTAAATTTATTTTATCATTAATGAATAAAACAAAAATTATGTGAGCCTTGATGATGAAGTAAGATAATTATGGTAACATTTCTTTCTTTTTTACCTTTTTTTTATTTATTTTATTAAGTTAATGGCATAAACAAACTTGAAGAGATACTACCTGTTTTATTTTTAACTTAATTTATACAAGTTGAGTGAATTTCACTCAGAATTTCAATAACAGATAATCAGAAATAAAATAATTATAAGGTAAATTAATAGATACAAACAGCTAGGTCTCAGGGAGGTTGTGCGATTTCATATTCCATTTTAATAACACCTTTCTGAGAACGTTTTTTTTTTTTTAATTTTGTAAAGAATGATTTCTGAACCTTTCTTCATTTTACTTATCTTTTTTTAATATAAAATATACTAATATACTTGCCTTATAGGTTAGTAATAGTTATAAATTTTTTTTGTCTCATTTCATGTGTTTTAAAAGGTCCAATTATAAAAAGCACTTTCGATAATAAGCAAATATTTACAAATAAATGTAAATTTGGAAAGGTTTTGTTTATTTAGAATACACAATTATAATATGGATATAAAGCAAATTTGATCCCCACCTTCTTGTAACTCTTCTCACCATCACTCGTTGCTGAGGTGCAACAGTCTCGTTTACCTGGGTTAATGCTGTTTTCAAACTATCAGGTTTTAATTGGTTACCATAACTTATCTGCAAAAAGTAATAAAATATAAACATTAAGATAAATAATATTTTAAAATAATAAAATTGAATACAATTCAAATGTAAAAAAAAATATATATAGAAATTTAAAAATTAAAGATTTACAATTAAAAAAATGTTTCATTTTAACATATTAATTACATTTTTGTTTTTAATTAGTTTTCTATTTCAAAGACGTAGAATATCTTTCTAAAAATTTGTTTTTCTCATTGACCCATAATACTTATAAATATATTTTCAATTTTATAGTTATATTTTTTATGTTTAGTACCACATTTTTATTTACTTCTTAAATGCTTTTTCAAATTACAGTAAAGAAAACAAATTATTTGGAGACCCTTGGCCAAAATTTGTTTAAAGAATATATTTTTATTTCCACAGTTATTATGAACAACTTGATAATTTAATTTAAATAAGGGTCTAAGAAGAAGCATCTCGCCATATAAATTATTGTTTTTGTTGTTAAAGATGGAAACAGCATAGAATTAGGATTTGTATTTCTATTAAAATAAATATTGTATTAAGCTCGCTACCACTACTATAATTAATAATTGCCATATTATGTGCTTTTTCTATATATTTAATAATAATAATAATTATAATGCTTGATTTATTAATTAGGACAATAATTAGGACAAGTCCCTTTAGAATAATGTTTACAGACAGAAATGTGGGCTTTGGAGCCTCAGAGAATATATACAAAATAAACAAATTTATATACTGAATAAGTAAAAGAAAAGAACATTATTTACTTTCAATCTTCAATTTAGAGAAAAAAAAAATTAAATTAAATTATTTAAAACAAACTAATTATTTATATACATATTTACAACATCTATTTACAATTTTATGAGAACTGAATGGATAAGAGGTGATTGAACAGGCAGGATTTAAAGGTGGGGAGGGTATTAGAGCGATAGATGTAGGATGGGATAGAATTCCATGGGGGTGTGGATCGAATCGAAAGATCTGTCAAAAGCAGGGGTTCGGTGGGATCTTGTATACAAATCTGAAGACCGGGAATGGGTTTTGCGGGAGTGGACAGAAGATTTGAATTGAAGGAGCTCGGAGATGTATGAAGGACGCCGGGTTCGGATGACTTGGAACAGGAAGGACATTAGGAAATATTTACATTGGTAGGAAGGATAAAGCCACTTCAGCTCTTCATAATAACGGGAAATAGAGGCATCTCTTGGGATCCCGAAGATGGATTGTACGAGGCTATTTATCAAACGTTTTAGTTTCGCCTCGAGATCCCCAGAGACGTCCCCATATACCGTACAGCAATAAGTCAGGAAATATTATTTATACATTTATAAATATTTATACCTGTCCATTTTGCCCAGCTGTTTCTTTTGTTGGTGAGCCTCTAAGCGGAGTTCTTAAGGATTCTGGCAACAAATCCATCAGTGTTGTGGTATGAGGTTGGTATCTTAGGATTAAGACACATGTAGAAACAAGAGTATAAGCCAGAAGTGTACCTAAGTAGGCAAAAACTTATTATTGTTAAGAATGCAACTAAGATTCTTTAATTAATTGTTATTTTTTTAAATTTTTACCTACCGATAGACATCATTTCCACAAGCACATCCAAACTTATAACCAAAGAAGCTAGGGCAGCTCCAACTCCACAGGTAAATGTAGCTATCACAGGTGTCCCAGTAGCAGGAAAGATATGAGCTAACTGTCTGAAATAAAAAAAATAAAAAAATAATATGAATGTTACATTTCGATGGGTATACAGTTTACTGTTGATACTGTAAGAATGAAAGTGATTAGGATGTGCTCTCAAAAACTACATTTATTGAATTGATATCGAAACATCAGCAAACTCAATACAATTAATTTTTTGACTTCATATTCTAATCATTTTTCATCCTAATGTTTCATATAAATGCTAAAAAAATATTATCCTTAAATCCAGCTCCTTCCTTCTTTAGTCATCAACAATAATCCTATCACATTCAGCTCCTCCATTAAACTAGCTTTCACCATTTACGAAAACCTCTCCTGTAAACCCCATATTGCCCTCATCTACTGAAAGTGAATAGGTGTTAAGTTATTTCATCGCTCCCGTCACCTACTCCCACAAACTATCTGCAATCTCCTTGTATCCTCTCTTATTTGCCCCCACTTTGACTATGGCTTTGTGATATACAGAGGCATCCCGACAGGACTCGAGGATAGATTGAAGGGACTTATAAACTCCTTAAGATTTATCTTCGGTACTTCAAGTCGGTCTCATGTGTCTTACCTTTACGATGAGTTAAAGTCGCTCTTCCCTTCCTCCCACCGACAATATTTTCTTGTATCTTACCTACTCCAAATGATCAACACCCAGCACCCTTCCTACACCTACAGCCTCCTACATTTCAAACCTGTGATCCACTCCCAGAAAACAAGATCCTGTGTTTCCGACCTTTATACCCCTTCTAATACATTTGAATATTCCCTTATTGCCCGATCCACTGCCTTCTGGAAATCCTTGCCATCTGATATCTGTCATGCCTCTTCCTTGCCCTCATTCAAATATCGTTTCTACCAATTCCTTTTCACATCCTAAAATGACGCTGTGCAATAAAATAAATTTTATGAATCAAATATTGATTGAGGTGAATGGTTGTTGAAATTGTTTGAGTTTCAATTTTAAGAATCAACTCATAGTGCTTATAACATTTTGTTTATTATTTCCACTGATTTCTGATTTTCTTTTCATTTCAATAATTTTTTTTTTTTTTTTTAAATGATTTTACTTTTGTTTTTTATATATATTTTCACTGAAGATATTGTATATATTCTTTAATTTTGATTAATGAAGATTTTTGCCAGATATGCGTTTTGTTTTTTGTTTATAATTGTTATTCTTAAGGGACCTTGTCATAGAATAAAGTTCATGGTCTAAAATAAATAAAAAAATAAAAGGTCACGCTTTTCAACTATAATTACATCTTTATTAAATGTGCTTATTGTTTTTAAATTTCCCTACATACTTTCCTACCACTAGGTAAGAGAAGTACTATAATTAGGTCAAAATTAAGATGTGTGGTTTTACAAATCTGTACAACGATTTTCTCAGGAATGGGTGGACCAATTTTGATGCTTCTTTTATTGTTTTGTAACGTTTTAGACACCAACAATTTTAAAACAAATTGGGCACCCTCCATGCAAATCAAATAAATATTCTATATCATGTAACACTAAAACACCTTTAACAATTTTGTTACAACTTGCTACTAATCTTCTGCATAGAGACTTGTTAATTTTCGTCAATGTAACAAATTCTGAAAAAACACAGGAAAAAAAAAAACTAGAATATAAAAGAAAATTTTTGCAGGGGTGTAACTCAAAATCATAATCACAAAGTATAGAATTTATGATAAATTTCATATATTTTCTTTAGAAGGACAATTAAATTTCCTTAAAAAAAATAAATAATCAAACTGGTATTGGTAATGATACAGTGTATTGTCTTATTAATTGTATAGTACTATGTAAGATAAATTTGTAATTGGGTCAACTTTTTGATATGTGGTTTCCTTCAGAGTCTTCTGATTTGGAAAAAAAAATCTGAACAGTATTCTTAGTGAACAATTATTGTTGCCTAACTGGGAAATGGTTTTTCAATAATGGTTGGCCAATGGTTAGAATTGGCAGCTCGCCTAACAGTTCGCCAACAACCATTCTGCAATGATGACCCAAATACTTTTAATATCGATGGGCCAACTTAAATTTCTCATTCCACCTTACGTTCTGGTAACCATAATTTTTATCTATCAGGTTTTACCATTGTTATATTATGTGCATAATAAACAATAAATTGTTATAATATAAATTATTTTAATATATTATTAATATTAATATCTTCTGAAACTTTAAAATACCAAGAAACCCAATTATAATGATTGCCAGAGTTTTATGGCTTAAAAAAAATTCATTATTTTTGGCTTAGTTACTTTGATAATTAAATATATTCTTCTCTTTCATGCAAGTCATTGTAATGCAATTATCAAAGAATAAACTTTATAAAGCCTTGTAAAGTAAATCACAGTAATAAACAAAAACTGATTACACCATCACAATCAAAGCAATGTTCTTGCTTGCTGGGCAAGTAACAAAAAGTAAGTGAGGGATTATCTGGTTATAGCAACAGCTGAATTTATGCCAGTACAGCTTCCAGTCCCAAGGGTAGTAACAAAAACTTTCTTAATAATCTTCCTTTGTAGCTGTCAAATCTTGAAGTTATATCAAACTCATCTTTATATGAGGGAAAAAAAAGAAATGTTGCTTGTAAAAAACTAATAAGATATTTTTCAGTGTCAATTAGAGACATAAAAGTTTTATTGTTAACTCTCTCAGAATCAGTTGATGAACATAATACTAAATACTAGATGGTGCAATTATGCATACTACGTAATTATTAATGGATTTTAGCTATTTTTGAGTTAAGATAAACAGCATAAGCAGACCACACCTGTCTTTACGAGTGTTAATAATTGTTTTAATAAAATTAATAATGTTAATCTAGATCATTATTAATAAAAAAAGTTGATGTTGATACCACCATGCATATTTCCACATACTATCTTCCAAAACATTACAGGAAGGTTTAAGCTTTATATTACTAATGATTTCTTTGTGTTTGATTATGTATAGTGATGGTCAAAGGTATCTATCTGGAGATTAGATCAGAATGATTCAATCACCACAGAAATAGTTTTCTAAATAATACTTTATATTTATATCCATGATTACTGATCTTTTTTACTGATTATTGATATATAATTAGCCATATTTTGATTTTCAAAACTAGTTAATATGTATTTCTAAATTAGCATTCAATGGCAGCAACTAGCAGTAACACTTTTAAGCGTCTAGCAAAATGATCCATGCATATCATTTTGCTAGACTTGGTTATTTTAATTTAGGGGATCTTGTAATGTATTTCTGTTGAAAAATGAGATTCGAAATTCATATTTAGAAAAGTGAAAATAATAATAAAAGCTTTTTTTTTTTCTTCAATTTTTTAATACAGCATTGTATTTTTCTTTCTCTCATGCTACTATATTTAATGAAAACGGAAATTCAATCAAATAAACATAACTGTCCGACGAAATCAGAAAAATAAAAAACTACAAATGCTGTCCCCTCCCCCCATCTTCTAAAAATAGATATGTTATTTTCTTTCATTGGCCCATATTTGTTACTGTGAGTGATCTAAGCTAAATACTTGCACAATAACATTATGTTCTATTTAATAAATTGTAAATATATATATATATATATATATATATATATATATATATATATATATATATATATATATATATATATATATATATATATATATATATATATATAATACTTGTATATATAATAATATTTTTGGACTGTAGCCCCTCAAAATTAAATCCTGGACCGGCTAGAATCCAGAACCCATTTGATAAATATTATGAAGAAACTTCTGTTGATGGCTAACATCTGTGACCCTTACTAGCTGAAGAAACACAAAATTCAACAAGACCCAAGAACAGCTGTTCTGGTTCTTATGAAGAAACTTTTAGGAAGAAAATCGCCAATTTGCGGCAAAAGATGGGTTTCTCTTGAATAGAACAAATGTCAAATAAGTTTAAGTATTAGCGGGAATTGTAAAAACATGAATTTAAGTTCATGTCACATTTATCTTAATTAAATTAATTATCATACAAGCCTAGATTTTAGACTGATTTCCTTCTTTTGTTTATTGCTGCAAATAGATACACAAATAATTTTCGAATGAATTTTTGTCCATAACTTTAAACAGTGACAAGAGTAAAATTAAATATCATCTCGTTAAAAATTACTTATTAGAATGAGAGGTTTAAATGCGATACAAAATAAACGCACAGTTATGAGTTCTATTCTCGTTTTGACTATAAAAAAATAATACATATATGTATAAATATATATATTGATAATAAAAGAAATAAAATTAAAAAAACGGGATTTAACAAACATCTTAAGGTCAAAGTTTCTACTTAATGCTTCCGACTAAAATCAATTTCTAAGTTACAGATCTATTTCAATGTGGTGAAAAAGTTTCGGAAGTAATCGTTCCTTACTGGAACTTATCGTGAAAAGTTGATACAATTTCCTAAGAAACTTTGAACATTGGATGTTGGATATGGAATCGATGATTTGTTGACTCATTACATCACAGGCGATATCGCACTTCAGAAAACTTCATCCGCTCAGATTCTGTTCTCAGCAATATTTTCGTTAGTGACCAATGATTAGTAGCAAAAAATATATGTTTTTTTTAATTACAATGAGTTTTTTAATTATTTAACTTTTAATTCTATGATGTAGTAAAAATAATCAATCATTGAAATAAAAGTTAACATCGCAAATAAAGAAATTTGTTGTGGTAAATAATTAAAATTGTGACAGTTTATAATTAACTATAAGACTCAGTACATGTTTCTAGCTTGTAACTTATTTAATGAACATTATTACTTTAATTCATAATTTTGTTTGTTAATGTTTGTCAAACAAATTCACATCAAATTATTTTTCTAATGTTGGCGTTTTTTTTTTTTTTCTAATGGGGCTGTATTCCAATTAGTAAAACTTTCCGAATCGTATAATAATGTAATTTATGGTAGTAATAATGTAATTCATATCAAAATAATTTATATATTGTAGTTCCGTT